ACAAGAATGAGTCCCAGCTGTGATGATATTTGTCATGACAAACGAAAGCCTAGCCATTCTTCACCTGAAACGTCGGAGGATATCTCATAAATAGCATCAACCTGGACCTCGTATTAAGGCCAAACGGCTGCAGTACGATGCAAATTAGCCCACGGGTTCTGGTGAGTTTGGCCTACGAATCTCTTCAACATGTACTTACATACGAAATGAAAGTCTTCACAGCAATCTTATGTCAGGAACTTTTTCAAAACCGGCAGTTTCTCCGTTAATATTTAATAGAAACTGTCAAAAATGTTACATGTCTCCTTTAAAATAAACAAAAACAGCGAAGGAAATTAATATAAAAACTCAAGTCAAGTAATGTGCATAATTTTTACAATTAATCTAAAAAATAGCGACAAAGAATTTTCACCACTTGTTACTGATCCTGAGGATAGATAATCGCCTCGGTGAAATAGCTATGTATTTTGGAATGGATCATTAGGCAGTTAAGAAATAACCTTAGGAGATATTTATTTTGCCATTACATCGAATAAAATACATGATTTTATGCAGTCGATTTAAAAATTTTTTACTTAAAATTGATAGAAACTAGACTAAATGAATTAAACTGAAAAGTTGGTGCTCGGTTACATAAAGAGCATGCTCCTATTCGTCACCATTAAAAAAAGCTGTTTAACAAACATAAACTAAAAAAACTCTCAAAGTACAAGGAAAAGGCAAACTAAAAAGGCGGAAATTCGTAGGTATATATTAACATGACAAGTAAAATCGATCATCGAGTATGTCACCGATCGGATGACACTAATATAAGAGGAACATTATGGATTTATTGACATACCGCTCCAATACATTATGTTCTAGACAGGCTTTCTTGGCGTCACCAAGTTCAAGAGAAGAGTCGTCCTCCACCTCTGTCTTATGATCCAATGTTAAAAGTTTATCATCAAGTTTGTGTTTATTTCGCCCCCTGGGCCTGGTAGGACACTCTTCAACAGGATCACTATCTTGGGCTCCACTATAAGATCTCACTGGATATACACATTCGGTCTTTCGTACTTCTTCAACAAATGACGATGCTGAAAAAGATGATTCCTTTTTTCGGCGCCATCTTGAACGTTGTAGTTCAAGATGGTAAGCCATTTCACTTGCATGTCGTCGATCAATTCTTCGAGTACGGATGCAAGCATCCATACACCAAACAAATCGATGAATAGCATCCGGTACGCAGAGCTGGACATTTTTAGCCTCATTTAAGCTCATCAAAAGATCAAAACGAAGGGTCGAAAGTGCAGAAGAGGCAATTGCTTGTTGGTTGGGCAGAAGTGCAGGGGATGTAAATGGCTGCAAGATGAAACTAGGTTTACCCAAGTAAGTTTCGTCTACTTCCAAAGCCTGCTCAACTTTCCGTTTCCTAGCGGGATTCTGAGAATTTGAAAGGCATAAGGACGAAATCTGTGTGACTCCGGGAGCTCCGACTGCTTGTTCAGCGAGTGCCGTTTCCAGGTTTATGCATTCCTCTCGAAGTATGGTAACAGCCTAAACAAGGCGAATATGAATAACTTAGCTGGTAAAAATAAAAGCTTTAACAAGCAAACCAAACTCAGGATAAAAAAGGAAGGCGTTTGTCGAGCTAGCATTATCAAATTTTCAGATAGATAAACCATTAATAATAGATATTCGTATCTTACAAAGTGAATATTAAATCAATCAAAGAGAAAATTAAGTGACTTCGTGTCACAAACGGATATAAAATGAACATATGCATTTATCACATACTTTTTCATAGAGAAC